GAACAATACCCATGAGTATGTGTGTTTATATATTTTATATATACGTATGCCAATGCGTGTGTGTGTGTGTTCGGAGCGGTGGCGTAGTAGTTGGCGCACTGCGCTACGAATTCGGCGAACCGAGATCGATTCCCGTGCTCAGTGGCGAATATTTTATCCAGTCCAGGGGCCTCCCCTAGGTCGACTCAGCCTTAATTAAGTATCGGTTATGCTTTATGTAAACATCAGCACCGGAGGTGCTCGCTAACGGCAACTCGTTGTGCCCTGTCGGCCTCCATAGGCGCTCGTAAACAACACTTGCCCCAAGAAGTTGCATAAGGCTAAACAGAATGGTGGAATCTTTGTCTTTGCATATACATACTCACAATTACAAACACACCCTACATCACTCAGTGGATTTATCTGATGACACGTTTGTTGGGATGTATCTGATGCCATTTGTACGTGGAACGGTTATAACCGCATTACGCATGTGCACAGGGGAGCGGTGGCGCATTGGTTGGTGCACTGCGCTCTCAAACCCGGCGACCCGAGTGAAAATTACCCGTCACGGCACTCGTGAGTGGCGAGTGACACCTTGAACCGGTCCTGGGTTCGTTCCCCAATATCCTGAACTGACCAGAGTGGTGAAGTATGTTTCGAGTAAACCCCGCGATCGACAGGAAGGCCTGCGGGAGGCATTCATCCAGCAGTGGATTGAAAAAGGGCTCCTGCACTATTGTGTTTACAAGTCGATTTTTTTGTTTTAGGTCAACGTATCATATGTCATTTACATTTAACAGTCGTACGGTATTTATATAGGTTTTATTTATTTATTATACAGCCTACAATATCTTCTCTATACCCCGTAAATTATTCACAAGCAAAGTGTGCGCGTGTGTATTTACACGCATACACATGTCGCAGTATTGTATTACACACCCTGACCAGAGTGCAATATATAGACACATACACACATCTAAATACTGCCCACGCAGAGACAAGCGGGCAAAGACAAAGATCCCCCGTGTAGCCTTTAACAGACTGTTGGGGCAAGTGCTGTTCGCGAGCACCTATGAAGGCCGGCACGGCACACGAGGGGGTCGGTGGCCAGTACCACTCTCCCCGCACACAAAGGCAAAGATCACCCGTATAGCCTTAAGAGACTCTTGGGGCAAGTGCTGTTCGCGAGCACCTATGAAGGCTGGAACATGCACACGAGGGGGTGGATGGCCAGCCGCACCATGCCGGGCCGATGTTGTCGCCCGACGTTTACACACCGCACCAGGTACTCATTTGAGGCTGGCCGTGAGCGGGAATCGAACTCTGGTCGACGGGTTCGCAGCGCAGTGCGCTACCTATCACGGCACCACACGTGCGGTGCTGATATGCCCAGGATGACGTTCTTGCGTGAAAGCGGTCACTATGCTATTTATCACTGTGTGCACGTGTAATAATAATGCTGTAGTAATAAGAATAATAATCATCATCACCGTACTTTTTAGCTATACGGGGAGAATCTCACCGATTCTCAAGACTCGACAAGGAGGATTCGATTCGTGTCGCTGGTAAGCCGAGAACACGGAGGACACCTTAGGGAGGCTAACGGGGAGATGATGACACTGCGATCCACGCCAGATGGGGCCACAAACCCTCTTGCTCTACTGCCACCTCCTGATCATCTCGCAACCCCTCGAGCAGCGCGTTTGGGAACTTTACGAAAAGGAGGTCTCAAGATGTAAATGCTCACCCCGAGCCCTCAATACTCTGATAGTGCGCTGTTTTTGAGGTTTACGCCTTTTGGCGTCATCTGGTCGAACACCAGTGGAGACTAGGCTCTAAGAAAAGCCGTCTCGGGTGTGGACCAATCAAATTCAAGGACAGTGCATATTATTATCAGAGTTGTCTCTTTTGTTTGTATTTTGATTGCTTGTGTTGTGGTTATTGCAAACATGATGCCTTGAATAAAGGTGTCAGTTTTTGTGCCAGTTAAAAGGGTAAAACCTATTACTATAACTTTACGAATCTTTACGTGATCCAGCAACCCTTGCCAACAACTCCCGCGACTTCCTCCCGACGCTCACGGGGTTCATCCCCGTGTCCGACCGGAGCCCTACAGGAACCCTTATTCGGGGTGCCCCTTCTACATCCCCCCGAGCGGGTGTGGTCCCCTGACGGAACTTTCCCTGTGGTTCCTCTTTGTGCGTCCCCACGAGCGACCCCCATCAGCCTACTGGAACCCCTCCTCTGGGTCCCCCTCCCCTCCCTCTGTGCCCCCCCCCTACCACGGTCCCCTACTGGGACCCCTCCTCGCCTCCCCCCCCCCATTCCCCCCCGAGCGACCCCGGGCCATTGCCAATAATATCCTGACACGACCGGGAGTCGCACTCGTCAGCCATCAATCAAGGGGGCAGCAGCGCCGCCATCGCCGACCTAAACTTTGCTCTGCGGAATCCCGATCCGTTTCCTGTCTGCGGGGGGTGGTAGGGGGGGTAAAGGGGGGGGGGGTCGTGCAGGGGTGATGGGAGGGAGGGTGGTGGTAGTGGTGGTGTAGAGGGGAACCTCTTCCCCGGCAAGACAAGGAGTGCCGCGAGCGCGCCTGCGTTTGCGGCCAGCGGCGAGAGTTACGAACCCGGCGACCCCGAGTTCGAGTCCCGCTCGCGGCCGGCACCGGTGGCGAATATCTGAACTGGTCATGGGCCTCTTCCCCCTAGGTCGACTCGGCCTTAAATGAGTAGTTGTTGCGGTTTGTAAACAGCAGCGCTGGAGGGGGAGACAAAGGCGGCCTGGCGTGGTGCTGGCCACCCACCCCAATGAGTGCCGGTCCTCAGAGCACTTTCCCCCAAAGGTCTGTTTAAAGGCTATACGGGGGATCTTTGTCTTTGTGTCTTGTGAGAGTGTCACGTGCGCCTGTGATTATAATATGTGTATGTGAGTATGATCTATGATATGTTTACGTGAGAATGTGTGTATGTATGGGACCTTTTTCTTGTCTATATGCTTATGGGACGGTGTGGGTGTTTGTGGACCTTAATCGATGCTACTCGATAACAGCACTTGCCCCAAACAGCCTGCGCAGGTTACACGGGGGAACTTTGTCATAGCACGTATAGGCATCCCCATCATCAGCGAACCGAGTAATTCGCCTGCTGAATGACTCTGTAATTGGGATACAATAACAGAGGAAGATAATGTTATCACCCTATTACTTTTGCTATCGAACCTAAGCGCCGAAAAGAGTGTGTGAAGGTTGGCGAAACTACACCGGCATACAATGACACGCTCAATAATTGCTTGCGAAACGTCGTACTCAGATTGTAAATGTTGTGGCTTGGCTCTCCAACACACCGGTGTGCTGTACTAGTGGCGAATTGGCCACGTTCTGTTTACGTGACAACCCTTACTAGTTGGCTGTGTCGGGTGGTGGCGGGTTTTAGCGACACATTTATATATTTAGGCGATCTAACCCAAAAACCTCTATTATGGATGATATTGGTCGCGAAAGCCTACGTGTTACACGCCCGTTTGTTTGGCTTATTATTTTGACGGGCTTGACGCTAGAGCTGATAGAAAGCGGGCCGAGCTGGCTAGATTTGTATGTGTGTGTGTATATATGTGTGTATATATATGTGTGTGTGTTTGGAGTGATAGTGTAGTGGCTTGCACGCTGCACTACGAACCCAGCAACCCCGGGTTCGATTCCCGCTCACGACCAACACCAGTGACGATCATCTGAACCGGTCCTGGGTCTCTTCCCCTAGGTCGACTCAGCCTCAAATGAGTACCTGATGCGGTGTTTAAAATAATTGTCACTGGGGAGACAAAGGCGAACGGGCGTGGTGCTAGCCACCCACCCCCGGTGCGCCATGTCCGCATTTATAGGTGCTACCGACTAACAGCACTGGCCCCAACAGTATGTAAGGGCTATACGGGGGATATTTGTCTTTGTACGGCAGATTCTGGAATGAAGCACACCTTACTGCATAAACCGCTGGGTAAAGTTTCATGTGTGGTCTGAGCTGTTAGAGTTTGAGGATGCCCTTTTTGCAGAGTTATATAAGCACCGTGCTTGATAAGTGTCGTCACTTTTCCCCCACCGTAGATCCAACCCGGACTTATTTCTCAGTCAGCAATGGGACTATCATAGCCGTGCAGCGTTACTGGGATACATTTCAACACGATACCAGATCTCGGGTACAAATCAATTCCTGCCACCCAACCACAGATGCCAATTCCCGGACTGTCCGTTTCAAACCCGATATAGGCACACGTGAAGTCCAAAATGGACTCGTTTTATATATCCATATTTATTGCAATATAAAAACATTTATATTTAAATTAGCTCGTTCAATCCCTGTTCGAGTTTAATCATTGGTGATGGTGGTCCGTCTGGACCCCAATGTCAGATATAGGGCGTCGCTGTGGCAAGACGTTAACTACCTCGCATGGTACACAGGAGGTCGTGGGTTCGATCCCCAATTCTGACACCTGCTGTCGATTTTGAGTTTGCATGTCTCTCTCCCCGTGGTTGCGTGGATTTTTATCCGGGTCCTCCGGATTTTCCCGCCACGTTTAAAATTAACAATGCGTTCGTAGTGTTTGGCCGCTAAAACATTTCCACGCGACGATAAAGCCACTTCGTTGAGCTGTGATTCGTGATAGGCAGCCCGCTTCTGAAAAAGAGCTACTAAATAATTCAGTGGGACTTACCTGGTGAAAAAAAAGGAACTTTTATTCATTCATTAAGCATTTGTTTTCATTGACTGCAATTCCGTCACCAGTCTCTGCACATTGGCCAGTTAGTATGTGGCAGAAGAGCGACCTCCTGTCGACAGGTCTAGCCACCCGTGCTCTAAAGGGAGAAGCAACGCCAAACGACGAACGAGATCTTTTGCGTCGCTCCTTCGGATAAATGCGCCACCCCCCCCCCCCCGCAATCGCCGTTCTCACGCCACGGACACTTCCTTCGTCGAACTAAACGTGGGATTGATTAATCACCCCCAGCGCGTGAATTTCCGCAGAGAAAACAACGAAAACGCCAACTCCAACACCGGCGGAGGCGGCGGCGGCGGCGGCTCCCAGCAGAACCAACTCACGTCCCCGTCTCTCAACGGGAGCAAGCACCTCCTGGCGAGTTCCGACGAGGACAAGAGCCCGGTGGGCACCCCGGACCGGGCGCACGTTTCCTCGGGCTCGTCTCACCACGCGGCCGTGGGGCCCGGTTCCATCTCCTTCCCGGGACTGAGCGGTCTGGGGGCCGCGGCTTCTCCGGGGACGGCGGCGGTTCTGCTGAGCGGCGCCGATGTCCTTCACCAGCACCATCACCACCACCACCAGCAGCAGCAGCACCACCACCAGCACCACCATCATCATCAGCAGCAGCAGCACAATCATCACCACCACCATCAACAGCAGCAGCACCATCAGCAGCAGCATTTGCACCACGGTTTACAAGACTCTCTGTTAAGTCCAATGTCGTCTGGCATTGTTAACATCGGCTCTTAATTGATTGAGGCTGGGTCAACAGTATTGTATAAATGTACTCTTTTAAATGTGTCTGTGTGTGTGTGCACTCTGATGAGGTCTCTACGTCTCTCTCTCCTCTTTCATCTGTTCGCTCAGTAATCGCGCCTGTACGTGGGATCGCTTTGTCGGATTTGCTAGACTCGGGATACGCCGCTTTTCGACATCACGGCAAGCGTGAACCGAGCACGTGGCGGTCTACACGAGTCGAACGCCGTGCGCCCCTCTAGAGTTCACCAGACAGAAGGGTGGTGGTGGTGGTGATGATGGTCATTGTTCGTGTTTGTACCTCTATGTTTGTGTGTGTCTCTCCCTCTCTCGTGTAGCCGTTCCGGCCTTTATAGGTGCTGACGAACAGCACTTGCCACAAAATATGTGAGCTCTATATGGGGAATCTTTGTCTTGTGTCTCTCTTTCCACCCAGGGTTGTTTATGGGAAGCGACCCCCACAGCACCCCAATTCGATTCCCGCTCACGGCTCTACCAACGAACCAATGGCGATGATCTGAACCGGTGCTGAGCCACTCCTGGATCGACTCAGCCTTAGACGAGCACCAGGTGCATCGGTACAGAGGAGACAAAAGCGGCCGGGCGTGGTGCTGGCCACCCCCCCCCCCAACCCCCCTCGTGTGCCACAGTGCCGGCCTTCATAGGTGCTACTCGCTAACAGCACTTGCCCAAGCAGTCTGTCAAGGCTACACGGGCGATCTTTGTCTTTGTCTCATAGTGCCCTCCCGTTGTATATTTTCGGTGTCCCTTCACAGCGCTGCGCTCTGATTGGCCCTCCCGCTCGTCCACCCCCTACGAGGCTCGCCCCGTGTAATGTATACGGTGCAGAAAACTGTGGTGACAGCAGTACCCCGGTTAACGTTGGGGATGCGTTCCTGAATATCCAAACGACGTAAATCAAAGCTATTTACGGGGTAAGGTGGAGGTGGTGGTGGTGGTGGTGGCTGAGAGGCGACGGATAACGAGAAAGGACGAACGGACGAAGTTGTCAGCGTCGTAAGGGTGGGTGGGTGAGGGTGGTCGAGGCGACGCGAATCGGCGTATCTCTGTTGCGGCTGTGTGGAAGCGAAGGTTGTTCAAGTTGCGTGAACGCGTTGCGGCGGTCAGGCCAGCCCCGGCCCGTGTGTTTACGCCTGTGCCATGCATCGAAACGATACTGCCAAACGCTTAATCGTTATCGCTGTTGTTGTTGCTGTTGTTATTGTGTTTGTGACTGCGTATTATCACATCACGATGCACGCGCGCTGACATTATTTAGAATAAACAAATCCTTATTGATATTTTTTTTATTCTAAGTTGGATAAAAACTTGCTTAGCTATCTCGGCAAATTTGCACCTCGGATATAAAATAAAATAATAATCTTGAAAACAATAATCTTGAATCCACGGTTATGGGTTTTTTTTATTATTCGCGCGCCTGTTACCTGTCAAAAATATCGGAATAACAAACGCTTTTGAATATCCGTCAGTGTACTATGAGAAGATCGTGGGGGAGCGGTGGCATAGTGGTTAGGGCACTACACGAGCTCCATTCCCCAGCCTCGGCTAACATCAGTGGCAAGTAAATTCTGAACCGGTTCTGGGCCTGGGGCCAACCGCCCCTCACCCACCCCCTCTTCACCAACCCACATTGATCAGCGTGGTGAAGTATGGACAATCATTCCACGTGACCCGTGCAACGTGGGGAAGGAATTTTATTCCAGCAGTGGGTCGAGAAAGGGACTGTAAAAGTGCGAGAGGAATCGTCATGTTGTTGAAGCTAGACCTTTGATCACATCAAACAATAACCGCTCGACCGCGCGGTATTGGCAATGCGTCTTGTTTATAATGATCAGAAACGCGCGCGCGCGTGTGTGCGTCGTACGGATGTCTCAGGGGGTTCGTAATGACCGTGTCAGAGACACCGAACCAGCACCGCTGTCACCCCGGATTCGAATCCGGGGTCTCAAACACCTCCGATTAAACGGCGTTCTCAAGTTGCCGTGAAGGTGGTGGGCTCAGCCTGGCCACCAATGACTGCACGCGCACACACATAAAAAAAACAATCCACCGTCGCATCAAATTTTGTTCATTTCGCTTTAACTTCATCACGATAAATTCGGGTCCTTCAAACTGCAACGTTTCGTTACGACTACCACGAGACGACTACTCCGTGCAGGACAACGGCGGGGAGTTACCCAACGTGTGGACAAACGGGCAGCTGAAGCGATCTCGGAACTAGTTCTGTACTGGCCATCGTCCTCCGGAGCCGTTGTCCGTTTCAAGGCAGCGCACTGCTCGCTTGCGAGAGTTCACAAAAAAAATCTAAAAAAAATCTTTAAAAAAAACAAAACGCCTTCGTCTCGTCTCCTGACGCTCACCGCACATCAACATCATCACCAGCCGTGATCAATCCACTGCTGGATGAAGGTCCTCCCCAAGCAGTCGCCGCATCGCACGCTCGACCGCAACGCAACGCACAGCTGAGCGGTGTGGAACCTTTGGCCCCTGAGCCCGCGGGGTAGCAAACAGAACCGTGGCTTCGTTCCGTACGCCCAGCGGACAACGGGAGATTGTATTGCGCTTCGAGACGTTCTAAGCACGGCATGTATCCGTCGAGGCGAGCATCTTATGCAGCACAAATCGGGCACTCGATGGGAAATGGTTGTTTATTGTTTTTTTTTCCCCCCCTCTACCGTGCAACAACGCGAGCTCCACGTGTTAACGCGCTCGGCCGCATCTCTCAGGGCTGCGGGGGCGAGCGCTCGTGCTCGTCAATGTCTACTGACTGTGGGTTGCCCGCAAAGAGAAGGGATATTTTGAAAGTCCTCATCCGCGGCCCTCGGCGAGGCAAACGCGTGCCACGTGCCGCACGCGAGTCGCGTGCCGACAGCACAGCCGCTATTGCATTCGGAAGAACAAACACACAAACCCCTGCTCACGCGCGCACGTGCGAGTCAGTGTGTGTGTGTGTGAGTGAGTAGGGGATTTTATACAACATGGAGAACGACCGTTGCCCGAAACGTCGCCTATTAAATACCCCCCCCCCCCCCCCGTAAGGCAGTATTACTGACAAATGCGTCGATACGTTTTTGTTATTTGCGTGATATGTGATCGTGCACCGCTCGGAGAACGCAGAGTGTCAAAACAAGCGGGTGGCCAAGTGAGTGCTTACGACCACCGTCGGTCGTGATACACGGCGGCGGTGGCTAAGCCACGCGTGGCTCGCCTCGTGTAATCCAGCCACTGCGGAGGCAGCGGCGAGGGTTGGTGGAGCCCACGCTGACCGTTGTGAAAGTCGCTTCCCGTGCGCGTCGAGGAGGGGGGCCGTGGACTCCAGCTGTTCCATCTGTACGGGGATCGAGCGTTGCTCCCCCGCCCTCCCGCCCCCCTCCCTCGCACGCGTGAGTTTTCTACGGGTGTTCCGATGTTTTATTTTTATTTGCCCCGCGTATAAGCACTCATTTAATTGGCCGATAACACTTCGATATGCAGAGGACCGCAGAGCTTGGGTTTGAGAATGTGGCTCCGGCTCACCACCGCGTGGCTCATGCTGCATATTCCCCCACCCGTCCGTGGTTACCAACCTCGCGCCTCTGAGTGGCCTTCTCTCTATCTCACTCATCTCTCTCTCTTGGAGATCGAGGAGGGAGACTACTGTGCAGCGGCAACTGCGCGTTGTTCCAAGTTGAAACTGTTTTTTTTATTGTTGTTGTTATTAGTGTTATTATTCAACGGCAGAACCGACGAGTCAGCTTTTGCATGCATTGAATGCGTATTTATAAAACATTGGTAAGACACATCGCACACGTGCCGAGATCGTTGCGTTTTCTCTAATGTTGTGCGTACCTTGTACCGGGGGACATCCCGCGCCAGGCTGTGTCTGTCTGTGTATTTGTGTGTGTGTGTGTGGCCATGTACGTGTGTTTATCCGTGCATGCAACAAAAAAATACAGCCGGTCTCCTTGTGAAATCCACAGTGAATATTCGTGGTGTTTAACAAAAATAATAATGGCACGCGAACATACTGTAGTCAACACGTGCACACGGTCGGACACGTACATGCACACATGCATATTTTAAATAGGGAAGTCCTCGCTTAACGCGTGTTCACACGACGCGTTTTCACTATAACGTGCTTTTCCCATTTAAGAACACTTTTCGCACAACGTGGAACGCGCCCCGTTATAACGCGGTTTCTGAGCGGCCGATGACGAAACTACTTTCTTGAGCTGTGTGGCTGAGCGGTATGACGCAGTGCGCGGAGTGATACAGGAATGCGGCGGCGTACCCTCAGATATTTGTCCCGCCATCTCACTGTGCGTGTGCAGAGTAGATCGAAGATCCTCAAACCTTACCACTACCACATTATTTATGGGGGAATTGTTTCTATTCACGCGTTTTTGGCTTAACGCGGCGCTTTTCAGGAACGCGTCTACTGCGCTAAACGAGGACTCGCTATATACTTAAAAAAGCCACATCATATTCTTGGTTCTTTTGGTAAATTCATGTAGAAGGGAAATAATGAAATAATACAAATAAAACATATAATTTCCCTTCTACGTGACTTTACCGAAAAAAACAAGAATTTGAATCCCTGCAGTCACGAAAGCTTTAAATCGACAAAGAAACACATCGTTGCTCAGCACAAGGAGACACAACGTCAAGCGGCCAGCTAATAGAGGGGCATCATCGACGTTTGAATAGAAAGCAGTAAACACGTTTCTACACTCGAGCAAGGTTTGAGAAGAGGCTTGTTTTTCTGGCAACAAAAAAAAACATTTTACAAGGAATCATGTCTGCATTAACCACAATACTTGTGGTCAGAATGCAATCAAAAACATACTCTGATAATATATGATGCATTGTCCTTGAAACTGATTGGGCCACACCAGAGACAGCTTTCTTTTGAACCTCACCTTTTGGCATCCTCTGGTCTAACACCGTTTGACCAAAGACAATGCAAATATTATCAGAGTATGTTTTTTGTTTGCATTCTGACCACAAGTATTGTGGTTAATGCAGACACGATTCCTTGTAAATCGTTTCTTAATGTTGCCAGAAAAAAGGGGAAAAAAAACCTATTCTCATATTTTAGTACTGGCAAAGGAGGTCCCATGATCGAGCAAGGTTCTTATGCGAGCCCTGGGCAAAAAAGGCAGGAGAGGAGGCAAAATAAGTGAACTTTTTCTGACCTTCAGATTTAAAGAACAGTACCAGGTACTCATATAAGGCTGAGTCGAACTTTCCGGTGGCCGAATTCGTAGCGTTGGCGTGCTTCCCACTACGCAAACAAACGCACACCAACAAGGACAAAGAACCCCCGTATAGCATTGACAGACTGTTGGGGCAAGTGCTGTTAGCGAATAACACCTATGAAGGCCGGCACGACGCACGAGGGGGTGGGTGTTCAGCACCACGTCCGGCCGCTTTTGTCTCCCCAGAGCCGATGTTTACACGCTGCTCCAGGTACTCATTTTAAGGATGAGTCGACCGAGGGAAAGCCTAGCTGTGAGCAGGAATCGAATTCGGGCCACCGGGTGTGTAGGGCAGTGCGCTAATCACTACACTACCGCTCCCCATACACTCGCGCATTTCCACACGTGCACACGCAAATGCACACAGACGCTCACATCAAGAGGCGTCATTCGCCACAAAGTGGCGGTGGCCTCACCACAGCGCTTGTGCCATGCTCGGTGCACATTGAGGCCACGTGCAATGTGGAAGGTTCGCTGACAGGAGGTCATGTGCCATGGGTTGACTGACTGAAATGTCTGACAGATGCACCACCTGTGCTCCCGACTGTGCCAACTTGCTGAGTTTTAAACTCCAGGTGATCCGCTCGTTGTTGTGAGCATCCTTTGTTGTTGCCGGAGGGCGACTTCCTCCAACTGCACAGTAGCGTCCTTCACGAGCCTCCTCCGTAGAGGCCGATCTTGACACCGTTGGTACCAGTCATCGGCAAGTCCACTCAGCTCCACGTCCTCCTGTACCACATCACTCCATCTCTTCTCTAGCCCGTGCCGAGCCCGTTTAGCTTCTGCTGTCCGGCCAAATAGAAGGTGATTGGGCATGCGGTGGCTGGGTATGCGAACCACATGACCCAGCCAACCCAACTTCGCCTGCCGGAGGAGCTCACCGATGGGACCATGTCCAGATCTTTCAAAGATCTGCGAGCTCCTCGCATACGCTTGCACCCAGTCGCACGCACGCGCACGCACGCACGCGCACGCACGCGCACGCACAGGTGTGAGTGACGGCTGTGAGCACTCCATCTCCCGGTGGTGTCCGGTGAACGCCGCTCGACCTGCGGCTTCCCAATTCCCCCGTGGCATCGCTCGCGTTATTATCCGCGCCACGTTACCACAAACACAATTACCACCGCATCCCCCTTCGTGCGTGCGAGAACACACGCACGCACAGACACACTCAGAGAGAGAGAGGGAGGGAGCCGTAGCCAGACATTGAGGCGCCCGGGGCGAGGTGTCATCATCCTCCCTCGCATCTCCGTCGCGCCTCCCTCGCCCCGCCGCTGCTGCTGCTGAGGCGCCGGCACCGCCCCACCACCAAGGTTTTGAGCAGCCACTCGCTGCCTTTTGCCGATAATTGGGCCGCACAATCGAGCGGCACCACCCTCGTGTGGGCCCCGCCCCCGACCCCGCCTCGCCCCTTAACCCCGCCCCGCTTTACCCACAACCCCGCCCCGCCTCGCCCCCAACCCTGCCTCGCCCCCAACCCCGCCTCGCCCCCAACCCCGCATCGCCCCGCCCCCAACCCCGCCTCGCCCCGCCCCCAACCCCGCCCCAACCCCGACTCGCCCCGCCCCCAACCCCGCTGGACACGGACAGACGCAGTGAGTGAGTGAGAGCCACACGGACAGACACAGATCTACACACACACAGACACGTGCGCGCCCAGATAAATAAACACAGACATCCACCCACACATAGGTGCGCAGAGCCAATGACCTGATAGACACGTATACACAACAACAAAGAATCCTCTACAGCCCTAGACTATTAGGGTAAGTCCGGTTAGCGAGCACCTATGAAGACCGGCACGGTACACGAGGGTGTGGGTGGCCAGGATCTCCCTAGTGGGAATGTTGACATACCGCAGCAGGTACTCATTTGAGGCTGAGTTGACCTAGGAGAGGCACATAACTATTCTTTGGTTCTTTCGGCAAAGTCACGTAGATAGAAAAAGATAAAGTGAATAAAAATTATAAAAATGTAATGAAAATAATAAAAAAAACAAAAAATTAATGTAGACTGTAGCCTGGTTATTAAGTTTGGTGAGTGTACTGGCAGTCTATAGTATAGACTGTAGTAATGGTTATTAAGCTGGGTGAGTGTACTGACAGTCTATAATGTAGACTGTAGCCTGGTTTTTAAGTTTGGTGAGTGTACTGGCAGTCTATAGTGTAGACTGTAGCCTGGTTCTTAACCTCGGTGAGTGTACTGGCAGTCTATAATGTAGATTGTAGCCTGGTTCTTAACCTCGGTGAGTGTACTGGCAGTCTATTATGTAGACTGTAACCTGGTTATTAAGCTGAGTGAGTGTACTGGCAGTCTATTATGTAGACTGTAGCCTGGTTATTAAGCTGAGTGAGTGTACTGGCAGTATATAATGTAGACTGTAGCCTGGTTATTCAGCTGGGTGAGTGTACTGGCAGTCTATAATGTATACTGTAGCCCGGTTATTAAGCTGGATGAGTGTACTGACAGTCTATAATGTAGACTGTAGCCTGGTTATTAAGTTGGGTGAGTGTACTGGCAGTCTATAATGTAGACTGTAGCCTGGTTATTAAATTGAGTGAGTGTACTGGCAGTCTATAATGTAGACTGTAGCCTGGTTATTAAGTTTGGTGAGTGTACTGGCAGTCTATAGTGTAGACTGTAGCCTGGTTCTTAACCTCGGTGAGTGTACTGGCAGTCTATAATGTAGATTGTAGCCTGGTTTTTAAGTTTGGTGAGTGTACTGGCAGTCTATAGTGTAGACTGTAGCCTGGTTCTTAACCTCGGTGAGTGTACTGGCAGTCTATAATGTAGATTGTAGCCTGATTCTCAACCTCGGTGAGTGTACTGGCAGTCTATTATGTAGACTGTAGCCTGGTTATTAAGTTTGGTGAGTGTACTGGCAGTCTATAATGTAGATTGTAGCCTGAAGTCTCACACACGAAGTCTCACACACACACACGCATGTATATACAACAACAACAACAAACAAAGATCCCCCGTATAGCCTTAACAGACCGTTGGGGCAAGTGCTATTAGCGGACACATATGAAGGTGGGAACAAAGACACGCACACACAAACATACGTACATACACACAGGCACGGCAATGATAAAGGTGCAGCTCCTGCAATTACTTGTTCACGCCACTGCTGGCGGAAGGAGCACCTATGAAGGCCGGCATGACACACGAGGGGGTAATGTGGTCAGGACCACGGCTGACCGCCTTTGTCTCCCCAATGCAGATATTTACACACCGCACCAGATACTCATTTGAGTCTGCGTCGACCTAGGGGATGGTCCAGGACCGGTTCAAATGTTCGTCACTCGCGTTGGCCGTGAGCGGGAATCGAATTCGGGACGCCACCACTCCCCACACGACCACACACACACCCCATCACGTCACTCAATTCGCCCGTAATCTCGCGGATAAAGGGTCAACATTTTAAACACTGCACTCACTGTGTAAGCGCGCCATCAAAGTGATTGTTAACCCCCTGGGCGTCAAACAGTTGCAGCTAGGGTACAGACACCACGGCCGACTCCGCTAATGACTTTATTTGTCATCTAAAGCGGACATATTTCAAACGGTACACAAGACGAAGATCCCCCGTATAGGATTTAACAGATTGTAGGGGCCAAGTGCTGTTAGCGAGCACCTATGAAGGTCAGGGCGGTGCACGAGGGGGTGGGTAGCCAGCAACCACGCACGGCCGCCTTTGTCTCCCGAATGGCGATGCTCACACACCGCACCAGGTAACTCATTTGAGGCTGAGTCGACCTAGGGGAGGCCCAGGACCGGTTCAGATAATCGCCACTGGTGTTGGCCCGTGAGCGGGAGTCGAACTCGGTTCGCCGGGTACACACGTGTACACGGGGTGGGGGGGGACACCTCCAGTGGCAATCCACTGCTGGATGAAAACCCTGCGGACGCCCTGCGGATTCGTTCCTTCCCTCTCCGCTCGATGGGTCCCGTGCACACTTCAAGCCAATTGCTACCGACCGCGGCGGCGTTCCGGGCGGATATTGTTGATGACCCTTTAACCTCCTCGCTCCAGACCAAACGTCTCAAGCATGCCCCAACTTCTTGACCAAGAATTATCGTGTTTCCTGCTAACCATACAAAGTGTCATCATCGTCATCATCGTCGTCGTCGTCGTCATCATCCGTGGTCAATCCGCTGCTGGATGACGGTCTCCCCCAAGCCCCAGCGAACCACCCACGATCTCCGCACGTGACCAGCCAATCATCGACGTGCACGCGCGCCGCGTGTTCTCGTCGCTCCATCTCGTGCAGGGCGGACCGCCTCCTCGGACGCGTTCCATTCCTTCTTCCCGTACGGTGCCTTTGCATTCCGCACGGACTCGTGCACACAATGCAACGTCGCATGCGTGTACCACCACGCTATAGGTGGGGAGGTGGGCGGTGGGGTGGGGGAGGATGGGGAACATGTGTACTGCATATGTCAACGGGCCGGGCATGCTGTGTGTAATTGTGT